ATTTATTTTTTAATATTTTAAATAATGTGATTTATACATGTCATTGATTTTAAACTTTAGACCTAAAATTTTTAACTCATTAATCATTATTCCTTTTTAAAAAGTTGGGGACATAAAATTTTCAAAATAAAGACTAAAGGCAAATGTAGACTAGACTATTGAATAATGGTTATGCTTGATTAATTTCCTTTTTTATAAGTGGTAAAATTTATACTAAAAATTAAAATAAAAAAGTAGAAGCTACCAGAATACTAAAAAATATTTTTTATTATCAAGATCAACATTTTTACCAACTCTTTTACCTTGTAATAGTGTTATTCTCCGATATTAATAATTTTTTTAATATTATTAATTACAAGGATATATAATGATTCATGAATAGACTCAAAAGAAAAAAAATTAATTTTAAAATGAAATATTATATAAACCCCCTTGCACTTAGAACTATTCTACGTCTATGATTTTCGCAAAAGCATAATGTCCAAATCTATCTTTAAAATTAGGTTAAATGTTAAATTTGGTCCCTCAACTTTAGTGAGTTGCACATTTTTGGTCCCTTAACAATTTTTTGCACTTTTTTGAACCCTTAACTATACGAAATGCATTCCGTTAGTCCTTCTGTTAATTAGGGCCGTTAACTCGCTCATGTAGCATTTTTTATAATTTATTTTATGACGTGACAAATAATTTTAAAAAATGTTGATCTGAAATTTTTTTTTAAGTCACGTTAGTGCCAATTCACTGTCCACTCATTAACTAATTTTGCCTTAATAAAAAAATAAAAAATTACAAATTTACCCCTCACCCGTTTTTGAGCCATCTTCTTCCCCTCTTTTGATCATCTTCTTCCTTTCTTCTTTTTCTTTTTCTTTCTTCCTCTTCTTCCTCTATGTCTGCTGGGTTCCATCGAACCCAGATCTGTTGGGTTCGAGGAACCCAGTTGGCTGGGTTCGATGAACCCAGCTCCACTTTTTTTGTTTTTTGTTATATGTTGATTTGCGAAGAGATTATCCAAGACATTATATGTTTGTTATATGTTTGTTATATGCTCAAAATGGAAATGGAAAGAACAGAAGCAGTTGGGCAAAGAAGCAATTCTTAGTGGTTTTCATTTGTTTGGCTGGAAAATGGTATAGTTTGGGTGTTTGGATGCTGAGAAAATGCTTTGAATTTGAGTGTTTGGATGCTGAGAAAATGCTTTGAATTTGTTTGGTTGGCGAGATTGGTTACTGAGAAACTATCATGTTCGTCAAAGAAAGAAAATTTGATTAGAAAATGGTGATTTAATTATAAATTAATTTAAAATTTTAATTTTGATTAATATAAATAATTATAGTTTAATGATGATTAATTAATAAAATTTGATTTGATATTATTTTTTATTCGGATAAATAATTATAGTTTAATGATAATTAATTAATAAAATTTGATTTGATATTATTT